TCACCAGCCTGTGGCAGCAAGCGAGACAAAGGTACCAGCATCTTAAATGTCTCCCTACATTCCACACAAACACACACACTCACACACACACAAATAAACACTACCCGACTCACCAGCCTGTGGCAGCAAGCGAGAGAAAGGAACCAGCATCTTTAATGTCTCTCCCCATTCCACACAAACACACACACTCACACACACACAAACACACACACACACACACACACTCACACACAAACATACACACACATAAACACTATCCAACTCACCAGCCTGTGGCAGTGAGCGAGAGAAAGGAACCAGGGACTTTAACTGCGTCTCCTCGTTGTAGGCCGCCTCAGGGTGGCGCCGCTGGTACGTGGGGTCGATGGCTGCCGCGATGTTGAACCCTGACGACCCGTTGGGATACGAACCTGGCAGGGAGCTGAGGAGAGGAAGGAACCGGCACAAATACTTTAACGATATCGCGATGAACAAGTTAATATTTGCATAACCATCATCAAATCACCATCAAATAAATACTATGAGTACATTCTAAAAGTTTCAAAAAGACCATTTATTGTAAAACCTAATATAATAAGGAATATTTTAGATGACTACATACGGTCCACAGAAATCCTTCTAATTATACAACCGAACATAATTATGAAAAACTAAATTAAACTCCTATTTATGTTCAAGAAAAATTGACTAATATGCAATTTATTTCAGTTTAAAAAGGCTAAATACTGTTCAGTGAAATCCCTTTAATTATACAGTTCTATATAACATTGAAAGGCTAAATTAGACCCCATAACATGCTCAAGAAAAGTCGCATCTTCTGCTGCCACAGACAGCAAACAAGGGGGAGTGAACTCACTCATCCTGCTCATCACTGTCGTAGCCAGCCACTTCCCTCCCTCTGCCCGCCGGGCCGGCCCGCGCCTCTCGCTCCTGCGTGCTGAGCCAGCGTCTCACTTCCTCCGCGTCTTGATCGTGAAGCTCCGCCCCTCCCCCAGCCATCCCGTGATGCTGATGTTGTTGTTGTTGCTGGTGGTGGTGAGCGTAAGCCGCGGGGTCCGCTATTTGTGCCAGCTGTTGCCGACGCCGTTGTTGCGAGGGGGACATCATCATCATGCTGCTGGTTGCCTCCACTCCACCACCACCCCGAGACGACACTGACCCATGGTTCGATCCCGCCGACGCGTGATGGCCGCGGGTTCTGATCACATCCACACCTCCCCCGATCCCATCGCGCGGGGTGGTGGACCCGCTCCGGTCCTGGCCCGACCCTCCCCGCTGCGACGACCCCGGCCCGTGTTGTTGTTGCTGTTGTTGCTGGCTCTGGGCGGCCATGATCCCTTCATGGTCACCGGCGGCGATGCGCCGGGCCGACTCTAGCGTGGACATCCCACCGCCCGCCCCCACACCCAGCCGAGGACTGGACACGCCCACGTCCACCGGGGGGGACACGTGTTGCTGGGCGTGTTGTGTGTACTGGCGAGATGAGGAGGAGGAGGAGAGGGAGGGGTGGGACGGGTTAGCACCAGTGGAGGGGGGACCTCCTCTCCCCTGTGGAGGCGTGGCCCCTCCTCGCTGACTTTGGGCGGAGGGTCGCGGAGGGGGCTGGGAGCGGGGAGGGGAGGGAGGGGAGTCGAAAGCCTGTGTGTAGCTGTTGCGCCTGTAGCGGTGACCTGGGGGAAGAAAACACACATACGCTGATTACGTTCGTTGATACACAATCTGATTGGCTGGATACATCACTCTGACAAAAGCCAGTTTATACTTTACTTGGGCATTTGTTGAGTCTTGCACCCAGCCATCAAAACACTGACACACATCTGTTCCCACATATTTGCTGACATAACATTCCAAAACTGAGACATCAAACTAAAGAAAGTGAGAAGAGAAAAGAGGTAATCTTAGACAGGTAGATCTCTTCCACAGTGTCATTATAATATAGAACCCCCCC